AAAAAGCGAAGCCACTGGAAAACCTTAGCCAGAGCAAATTCATTTTGTGAGGTAGTGAGACCCTGGAACGACCAACTCGAGAACGTAGTTTCTGCCGCCTCAATAAGCGCCTTTAAAGCTAGACTTGACCACTGTTCCCGATTTGTTAACTACCGAAAGAGATACTACTATCTTAACTCTTTATCAGCTAAGGTGGAAAGGCAATAAAAAGGAAGACAATTTACAAAAGATAATCAAGGAGAAATTTAAGAAAAATAAAAAAAACTGAGGAAGAAAAAATTATGTACAAGTTCACACTCAAAGGGTATTTTGTGAGATGGGAGCCAAATAAGAAGTCTCTTAACATCCCAGGTAATTGAAATAGGCAAGTTGAATTAGGCGAGTTGTCTCAGAGTGTAGTAATTTACACCCTATTTAACGTAACCTACTTAACAACAATATACATTTTTTTTTTTTTTTTTAATACGCTCTCAGATCTTCCATAGTTATTGGTCAGATCACTGAGGCCCACATCCCTCAGCGATAAACTGGTTGTTATCCTCATCCAAGCTTGCTTCTTTAAAACAACAATCTTCCCACAGGTGTTCTTATTTTGAAGAACATTTTCCTCCAAATTAAATGCGCTAAAAACTCCCATTCTCTGAGATACAGGACTTGTCCTTGTTGAATGAGAGGCTTAGGAGTTCATGATGAATAGTCTTGATTTTACCGCCAGCATTTGTAATGTAAACAAACGCACTCCCGGCTTACCAACCACACGAGTAAGACGACCCATAAGGCATCAGTGGAGGTGGACAGGATGACCAACCCTACCCTAGATGGTCCCGCACAAAGGGGGGAAGAGGTTCGAGCAATTAAAACTACCACCTGAAGGAACGATTCCTACATGCAAGATCTTCGTGGAAGAGGGAAGAAGAGTGATTAAAACTACAGGCCTGGCCCGTGGTGGACTGGGCTAGGGGGAGGGTGCACCATCCCCCTCTCTAGGGTCTTGGTATGCCTGGTAACCATTTTGTCTCCTCCCTCACCGGTGACCCCGATCCCCAATATTCTGTCGACTTGTAAAGTAGGTTCATATGTGAGGGTGGACAACATCAGTTATAAATACCCCAACAAACGCACCAGAACTCCCTCTTCACGGGAAAGAAACACTACGCAGAGAGCTAAAACACGGCTTCAAAAGTTAAATAAAACCAGTAGCAACGCCTCGGAGTATCACTAGTAATACTGAAACATAAAAAAATATTACATTGAACTTACTAATAACACGACGAGAGCGCCGAGGCCACCTCAGCGCTCTCGTCGTATTGACAAATAATTTTACCAGGAATGAATAGGTAATTAATATTCTGTTTCAGTAGTACCAACGAGCTTGGTGATAATTTCCATTCGCCAAAGCCGCGAAGGCCACAGCCTAATCGTCTATATCCAAAGTATTACCAAGATTTTCCCCATTCCCCCATCTGATTTAAATTATACAAAATGTTAAACGTTCATCCAAAATCCCTACGTAAGCCATGCGCTGTGACATTTACCGTTCAGTGGGTACAGTAAGTAAACCACAAGGATTCCATTCTAAATTTAGTAAGAAATGCACCTTAACTAACTTCGCCATGGACTCCTGTATAAACTTTAACCTAACTTTGTGATGACATAACCGTAACGTAAATTATGTGCACCCACTAAAAAATTATTCGGCATCCTTACGGCGTGATGCAATATGACACGGGTGCCGAATAAGTTTTAGTGGTTGTGCCCAAGCAATGTATGGGAGCACCTGTACACTAACGAGTTTTGAGTGAAACTTTACCAGTCTTTAGGGAGTACCCTCCGTCAGCCAGCAGTATCCAGAAGCGTCAGAAGCCGTCAGCCATCAGTACCCAGAAGCAGCAGCCGTCAGCCAGCAGGACCCAGAAGCAGCAGCTGTCATCCAGCAGTATACTGAAGCAGCAGCCGTCAGCTAGTAGTACCTATTATTGGTTGTCATCATCAGCTGTCAGTCAGCAGTAACCATCATTAGTACCTAATCACCAGCTACAGTAGTACACCGTCAGCATCAGCAGAAGCAGCTGTCAGGAAACAAAAGCCAATAGTAACAGCAGCAGCCGTCAAGGGGCAGGCGTCAGTAACAGCAACACACAAAAACTGAGGCAATTGGTATGCTGCCACTAGTTCACTGAGAGGCTTCGAGACGTGTAAATGAGACCTCGATACGCCCTTACTGAACCATCAACCATCCGAATCCCAGCTAACTAACGAAGATATAAACACTATTACTGAAGCACCAACGAAGATATAACAACTATGAGTAATAATAAGTAACCAGATGACTAATAAAGCTTAGTTATTTAGAGTAATTACTTAAAATATTTAAGGGAATTGATTTAATGTTCAGGGCCCGATTCTTTCATGGTGTACTTCGAATCGTTGGTGTTTTGTGGTCGTGGCAATAACGCCATCAGTGGGCGGGGTTTACAAAGGAAGGGTTTGTACTGTCAATTTAGTTGATTTTAATTGTATTTATGTCATGATAATGCAAATATTATATTGTGTATTTGTTTAGAATCTTATTCTTGTAAAGTATTAAGTTGTGCGCCCACACACTATACCTGCATTGTAAGAGTTCTGAAACAATCGTCTGTCGTTGAGTTGATATTACCATCAGTGATGTATAAACTTTTTGGGATAATATACAGTAGTGTAATATATTTTCCTCAATAAATTTTAAGTTGAATCTATTGAATTTATTATACTAATGAAAGGTTTTGGATAACTGGTGTCGTTTTACTTTTTTCTTATACCCCTAATATGCCATAAATTTCCTGTTCTTATTATTTATGTTGTTACCCGGAACGCCGACATCCTTGGACCCGAGACGATGTTGGACCGGAGAGCTTTGGTATCACATATCAGTTTGGATCGTGTTTTCTTTTGGTTCTTGAGGATACCTGTAGTATAGTCCGGGACACCTGATAAGTTGTCTTTGGAACCAACGTATATGATGATTATACCTCTCTCTCTCTCTCTTAGGATTTTCTAATACATAATTTACTGGGAAGCTAGCTACCTGTACCTGGCCCTCAGATATCAGCTATAAAGTGGAGGTACAGGACGTGGCTAGTGATGCTTGTGTGTACGAAAAGATATTATATTGGAAGACATGACCTCGGTGTCCCTCCCCAACCCACAGAGGTGCATGACTTAGAAAACAGAGGTGGATGGCTTAGGAACTAATGTGGATGATTTAGAATACATAAGTGGTTGATCTGGAGAACACAGGAGTGGATAATCTAGGGAATACAGAGGTGAATGATCTAGATAACACAGAAGTGGATGATCTAGAAAATAGAGTTGGATGATCTAGAAAACAAAGAGGTGGATAATCTAGAGAACACAGAAATGGATGATCTAGAGAACACAGAAGTGGATGATCTAGAGAACACAGAAATGGATGATCTAGAGAACACAGAAGTGGATGATCTAGAGAACATAGAGGGGGTGATCTAGAGAACACAGAAGTGGATGATCTAGAAAATAGAGGTGGATGATCTAGAGAACACAAAGGTGGATGATCTAGAGAACACAAAGGTGGATGATCTAGAGAACACAGAAATGGAGGATCTAGAGAACACAGGTGGATGTTCTAGAGAACACAGGTGGATGATCTAGAGAACACAGAAGTGGATGATCTAGAAACACAGAAGTGTATAATCTAGAAAATAGAGGTGGATGATCTAGAGAAAACAAAAGTGGATGATCTAGAGAACACAGGTGGATGATCTAGATAACACAGGTGGATGATCTAGAGAACACAGAGGTGGGTGCTCTAGAGAATGCAGGTGCATGATCTAGAGAACACAGGTGGATGATCTAGATAACACAGATGGATGATCTAGATAATATAGAGGTGAATGATCTAGAAAACACAAAAGTGGATGATTTAGAGAACACAGAAGTGGATGATCTAGAGAACATAGAGGTGGATGATCATGAGAAAATAGAGGTGGATGATCTAGAAAACACAGAAGTGGATGATCTAAAAAACACAGAAGTGGATGATCTAGAGAACACAAGTGGATGACAGAAATAAGAGAGATGGATGATTAAGTTAAACACAAGAGACTGTCAACACAAGCTGAATTACTGGGGGTATATATATTAAGTGTTAGTTTTGGTGACATAGTAACTTAAATTTTTATACTATTTATATAACTTGACCTGGTCTAGCGTAACATGACCTATACTGACGATCTAAACTGACATGACCTATACTGACTTGATCTAAACTGACATGACCTAAACTGACTTGATCTAAACCTGAACTAACTTGACCCAAACTGACCTGATCCAAACTGACTTGATCTAATCTAACCTAAACTGACATGACCTATACTGACTTGATCTAAACTGACCTGACCTAAACTGACTTGATCTAAACCTGAACTAACTTGACCCAAACTGACCTGATCCAAACTGAATTGACCTAATCTAACCTAACCTGTTCTAAAGTGACTCGACCTAATCAATCCCTAACCTGACCTGACCTAAACTAACCTAACTTGACCCAAACTGACCTGATCTAAACTGACTTGACCTAATCTAACCTAAAGTGACCAGAAGTAACACTGTTCACACACACTTAACCAACATCAAGTGTAGTATCTCAACCTGTCGTACTTTTGCTCTCAACTGTGAAATCATTCCTAGTTCAAGACATTTTTGGGAAGACATTTCAAGATATGGCTTTCGGCTAGATTGACATTTAATTTCTATTTATTTTTTCTATTTAAAACATTTCCAGGTATTTTTCTTAGTTCAAGACATTTGTGGGTAGACATTTCAATATATATATATTTTTTCTTTCTAGTTCACAACATTATGAAGTCATTTTAAGACATATTATTCCTAGTTTAAATAATCAGTTTAAACATATATCAATATATTTTGTTTCCCTTGGTCTAAAACATCTGTAGGACAAGAGATAAAGACATTCAGGGTAATACATTTGAAGACATTTTATTCCTAGTTCAAGACATTTGTGAGGAAAAAAAACCTATTGTAACACAGCAGAGGTCCTTCAAGTACACAGTCACAATCTGGAAACAGTGAGTCATATTTTTTTTTCTTTTGCAACAGTCAATTGTTCTCCAGTTTGAGATGTTTCCAGAGAGATAATTCTCCTTTAGTCTCAGGATTTCTCACAGTTTGATTTAACGAGAAAATTCCAGCTATTTAGAACAACTTTCATTATTTTATTTTTTTTATTTTCTGAGTCAGGCAGTGACGAGAGTACTTCCAACACTTGGGTCCTTAAACTCATCACTGTAACACTGTAGTTTTTATAAAAGATAATAAATTCATCACAAACATCAGCGAAACACATCCATCATTAGTTCCAATACTCGTCGTTCTTTTCTTCATGTAAATAATACTCTTCTAAAACACTCGGTTCATTGTTGACTCTCTACATTCGTCTTTCAATGTTCCAGAGCTCGAGTCATCCATCATTCGTATCGCCATTATTACACATAGTCGTGGAGATGTAGGAACTGTAGCTGGGCCAGGATTCTACAAATGGATCGTAAGTCCTTTTTTTCCCTTTGCTCTTATCGTAACTGGGGATGAGAGAGCATCATGTTATGGTAGAGTCTCAGTGCAATTGTGTAACTTAAGTGAGCTAATTTGACGCATTCTCACTTCTCCAGTTACAGGGCCAGATTAAACCTACGAATCTTTTGAGAACCCGGGCCCTTGTCTCTCACCGGGCGCCTTAACAGCTTCTCACACAGACAATCGCACCAGATTTAGCTTGGGGAGTAAGAGTCACTCCCACACCAAAGGTTACAAGCCTTTGATCTCCCACTGACCTCTCCGGAAACAGCTGTAAATAAACCTGTCACAGTTAAATCTAATTCTGACATTTTTACAACTTGCAACTGTTTTCAGGTCAAAGGCTCATCCAGCAAAAGTAAATATTAAGTTCATTCCAGAAAAGAGCACCATTGTTGGCAGAAAGCAGGAGGCAGACGTTCGCTTGACAAGGCAGAGGAACGTCAGGTACTGTTCATTGTTCGTACTGGAACTGCTTTTTTTTTCGTTTTTATAGATCAAATTTTCGTCCCTGTAGCAGCAAGCAGCTCAAAGAGTCCAGTTAGCAGAGCGAGTCATAGCCATTGACTTCGTCCCCAGACACCGTACTGCCCAGCTCCTCTTTAGGCACCTCGAAGCCCCTGATCTTCATGTAGTAGCCCCCGGTGGTGTCCTTGGCCAGGGTGGACATCTTGTCGTCCTCCCTGTCCTTCACCACAACACGTATGATGTACACCTCGTTCACCTTGTCCTTCTCCAGCATCTCGTCACCGTACGCTTGGTTCGTCTGGTCCTTGTCTGCCACTTCTTCCCTGTACAGTTCATTCACTTTGCCTTTCTTTAGCGACTCTTCTCTATACAGTTCGTTCACTTTGCCCTTCTTCAACGATTCTTCTCTATACATTTCATTCACTTTGCCTTTCTTTAACGACTCTTCTCTATATAGTTCGTTCACTTTGCCTTTCTGTAGCGACTCTTCTCTATACATTTCGTTCACTTTGCCTTTATGTAGCAACTCTTCTCTATACAGTTCGTTCACTTTGCCCTTCTTCAACGATTCTTCTCTATACATTTCATTCACTTTGCCTTTCTTTAACGACTCTTCTCTATATAGTTCGTTCACTTTGCCTTTCTGTAGCGACTCTTCTCTATACATTTCGTTCACTTTGCCTTTATGTAGCAACTCTTCTCTATACAGTTTGTTCACTTTGCCCTTCTTCAACGATTCTTCTCTATACATTTCATTCACTTTGCCTTTCTTTAACGACTCTTCTCTATACAGTTCATTCACTTTGCCTTTCTTTAAGGACTCTTCTCTATACAGTTCGTACACTTTGCCTTTCTTTAATGACTCTTCTCTAAATCCTTCCTTAAGTTTGTCCATTTTTAGCACCTCATCCCTGTACACGTTGTTCACTTTGTCTCTCTGCAACACGTCGTCAATGCCATTCGTCAGAGAAGTATCCCGCAGCCTACTGTTGTCTGAGGCCTTACCACTTGACTTACAACTACTGGTTTCGCTGGGACTACTACTGCTCTTACGGCGAAGAGCTCTTTTGAAGGGATCGCTTTTCCTTATACTAATGTCGGTAAAACTACTAATGTCTCTAGAAACTTTCCTAAATAGTTTCCCTTTCTTCTTTTCTTCGGTTTGTGTAAGACTAATGTTTGGTAGACTGAGCGGGGCATCGTTGTTAGTCGGGATTTTCTGATTTCTGTAAGCGTAGTCACAGATTTCGGCGTAGTGACTCTCTCCTTCTTCCTCGTTCTCTGGGATGGGGCTGATGTCGTCAATCACGCGGGAGTAGTCCATGTTCTCTATGGATCTGGTCGTCACGAAGCTACTCTCACTCTCTGCCTTTTTCTCAACGTGCTTGGAGCTTTTGCCGTTCTGCAGTACGTACGTGTTTTGCTTGGATATCTTCCTGTGGTCTGCGTTTTTCTTGTTCTCAAGGCTGGGGTCCTTCAGGGGGTAGCCATTGTAGCTGTTACTTTTGTCGTGGTAAGTGAACTTGGTCTTCTCCACGCTGTTCTCTCTGATCCTGAAGTCTCTGAACCTGTGTTCTTTGTTCTTGTCCTTGCTTTTATCTTTGTTGGTCTGGGACGGTCTGCTCTCCCTGGAATGGTCTCGATCTCGCCCTTTCCTCTTGTCGTGGTCAGACAGGAATGACAGACTAAGAGGTCGGACGCTGGACAGTGGTTCCACAAATTTGTCACTCAGTGACCGGGTCAATGACCTTGACCTCTTCTCAGTCACGTGGTGAGTGACCTGCAAGGAAAAACAATTGTGTGAGATTCTTATTTCTATTATAGGACTATCAACTATCTGGTCTAAACGTTTGGAATGAAAATAAAACACAAAAATATCTAACAAATTTCATTCAAAGAAGAAGTCATACACGGCAGAAAAGATTCTATTTAACAGACAAACAACAAAATATGGGAAGCATTACTTACAAGCTTACTCCTCCTCTAATACTACGAGTACAACCAGAAGAAGACTAAAACATACAGAAGACAACCCCACATACCTGAACACAAGAAACTAGAATAATGCACAAACAACTTGCAAGACTTAAAGATGAACCATCACCAGAAACACTAACTACGCTAAAAGACTTACAAAGAGCGGGAAAAATACGTGAGCAAACTGACAGATTTATTAATTGCGGGAAGGACATGAAAGCTTACCAGCGTTAGAGAGGATCTTCAGATACCAGTAAAATGATATACAAGGACAGTGTAACTCACAACAAGTCAAAGGTTTATCAGGAGAGAAGAAGACTTACAGCACCAGAGGAAGACAAGTCATGCACTAGAGGATCCAGTCGACGCCCACCTTGATCTGCCTCCTCCAGGCGTCGGCCTCGTCCTCGCAGTAGGAGACGGTCTTGAGGAAGATGGGCGTCTTGGGGAACACCGGGTCCTTCACCGGCGTCAACACGAAGTTGGACGACACGTCGATCTCAAACAGCGTGGCCTGAGCCTCGTTGGTCATGGTGCAGGCCAGGATGACCGCCTCCTTCTGAGACTGTTCCAGACGTAGCACACCTAAGGGCGGAGAGAGGTATTAGTGAGAGTCGTGTAGGTCAGCATCACCACCTCCTTCTGTGACGACTACAGATATCACATACATGAAGATTAAGGTCATGAAAGACAGGCGGAAGAGTGAAGCTATGAGCTACAGTACAGTCTCATGACAATAATCTACCAGAGGAAACACAGCGCATGACACCCAACTGATGTGGCCTGAGGCTCACGGTGGACAGTAATGCTACAGGGAACACCTACCAGTAAAGCTACAGGGAACACCTACCAGTAAAGCTACAGGGAACACCTACCAGTAAAGCTACAGGGAACACGAGGCATGTAGCCACACACGAGGCGGACAGTGAGGGGTAGTTTGTGGTTCTTCAGGATGTGGGCCATGAGGTACACGTGGTTGGGGTTCTTACTCGTCTTGTGGGCCGTCGTGTAGAACCGACCAGACGCTGAGAACGGCAAGAACACAACCTGGGGGTGAAGAACTCGCTGTTAATACTGTCTTATATACTGTACCTCAGAAAAAAAATTTTATTGACAAAAAGAATGCCTCTCTCCTCTCTGGAAGACCTTAGCCTGGAGCCCAACACAGGTACACATACTAACACGAATCTTATATTTCCCCACAAAGAGCTTCACAAATTAACTTATTGTGATAGTTTCCTAAAGTATCTTAACTTACAACCAACAGGATCAGATATTCTATAACTTTGTTTTACATTATCCACTCAGAGAACTAATACGATCCTTCCAGCAGAACACCATCTTTGTTGTGGACTCATCCCAGGCTCTGATATACCGGAGGAAAAAATAAACGCGTGGAAAATGACATTTTGAGGATTAACTGGAGCAGATAACAAAGGGAGATATGACAAGACTAGGGGAAAATAAAAAAAAATCTGGAAAACATAATAGAAAAACACACACACATACACACCTCGTTCCTGTAGTTGAGACATTGAGCAAATTTGTCACAGTTGAAGACGGACATGGCGTCTCGACCTCTGCCTCCGCTGTTGGTCTTCTTGGCGTTGAGGTCCTCGAAGATCCCCAACAGCTTGAGGACGTGGCCGCTCTGAACCACCGTCTTCTGATAGCTGACGCGGCCTTCGTCTGTTGGGTGATGGAGGGAAGGTTAGCCATTGGGTGTTGTGATTGTGGTTCTCTGGTCACTATTTGAGGTTACTGATGAGGTTACTGACTAAGGTTGTGAATCGTATGTGTTGTGGGTTTTTTTTTCCGAGAATTGGAAATTTCTTATGATTGAGTTGATGTTATTGAGGTTATATCATCGTGGGTTGTGATTTATTATTATTACTATTATTATTTTCTTTTTATAATGGACACAGTACATCCTATCATGCCTTTGTGTATTGAAGTTTATTATGATTACTATTATTTTTTTTTTATTCGTAATAAGCTCAGAACTGGAAGAAGAAAACAAAATAATTAAAAATACCTAGAAACAAAAATAGATATCAGTGTCAGCTTTATTCTTAGTGTACTTCCCCAAGGCACAAGTCAAAGGAACTGTCCATCTAAGCACACAGCCTACGAGTAAGACATGGACATATTTATGGCAGATGTGCATAATGGAAATACAAGTGTGTGTGTGTGTGTGTGTGTGTGTGTGTGTGTGTGTGTGTGTGTGTGTGTGTGTGTGTGTTTCTACAAAGTAGAATGATATCTTTACCAGGGTCACCCTCTCGACCTACCGTCCTCCGTGTTGGTGTAAGCAGGAACGTCGTAGCGCGTGAGGAAGAAAGAGAGTTTGCTAGTAGCGACCTGTTCCACTGTGGTGTAATAGGTGGCGGTGTGGCCCTCGCTAGTGACTATGGCAAACCATCCTGTAAGGGGGGAGAGAACATCAGGGGGTTAAGATAAAGGGGGTTTAAGGGGTGACAATAAATGACTCAAAGGGTGGTATTAAGGGGCTAAAGGGATGATATAAAGGGGCTCAAGAGGTTAATATAAGGGGGTTTAAGGGGTGATAATAAATGACTCAAGGGGTGGTATTAAGGAGCTAAAGGGATGATATAAAGGGGCTCAAGAGGTTAATATAAGGGGGTTTAAGGGGTGATAATTAAGAGGCTCAATGGGTGATAATTAAGGATTCAAGGGCTCTGAGGGGGTGGAATTAAGGGACTCAAGAAGTGATAATTAAGGGGTGAAGGGGTGGAAATAAAGGGCTCAAGGGGTGATAATTAAGGATTCAAGGGGTGATAATTAAAAGGCTCAAGAGGTGACAATTAAGCAGTTCAGGACCATATTATTACAAGTTTTAGGACCACGATTTTAAAAGTTTGATGACATTAATATCAAAAGTTTCAACACCTTGATATTAAAAAGTATTTCACACATTAAACAAAATAACAATCAAGACAACAGTTAAAAAAATGAATAAAATAAACAAGATCAAAACACAAACAATAACTGAAGTAAACAAATAATCAAGGCAACTAAATTAAACAACAAAATCATAACAAGGCGTAAGTAAAGAAAAAATAAAAGATTTGAGTTAAGAAAATAATCTCCCTAAACAATTAATTATAACAAGACAATTAAGAGTAATTAGTGGAGGAGGAGAGGTAGGGCAATTAACTCACCTGTGTAGGACTCTGGGATGACAATGGCAGGACCCACAGGTGTGACGGCACCATCCCTACCTGGCCTCAGCGACACGCCCCTCACCTGTAAGTACATGGGGTCAGAGGTCACCAAGCAGCTTGCCAGATCATGAAATTCAACAGGTTATCACCAGGTCACTGAGGTCAGTAAATTAGGTCAGAGGTCATAGGGTCAGCCACTCAGGTTATGACACTCAGTTTACGAGGTCAAAGGTTATGGAGTTTAGGTCATAAAGGGTCACGCATTAGCCCATCAGGCTAGGGTAGTTTGTACATGAGCCAATCAAGGGTAAGGAAGGTCGTGCTTGAGTCATTTGGGGTCATGGAAGGTCGTACATGACATCATTCAGATGAGGGAAGGTCGTACATGACATCATTTAGGTGAGGTAAGGTCGTAAATGACATCCTTCAGGTGAGGGAAGGTCGTAAATGACATCCTTCAGGTGAGGGAAGGTCGTACATGACATCATTTAGGTGAGGGAAAGTCGTACATGACATCATTCAGGTGAGGGAAGGTCGCATATGGCACCACTCAAGTCAGAGAAGGTCGTACATGACATAATTTAGGTCAGGGAAGGTCATACGCTGGCACTCAGATAAGCCAGCCAGGTAATATGTCAGAGGTGATGAGGCAGGTGAGCAAACAGGTGGGGACTGATATACTGTTTACTCCCAGCAACAGTAATATAATAGTAAGTGTTTATATGGTCAAATATCACCTGTACGGGAGACTAACAGGTTCCGTGTGTATGTCAGTCAGAAGTCATATGTGTATGTCAGGTATGAGTCATGTGTGTGTGTATATGTGTCACTTAAAAGGAATGTAAACATGTGGTTCTAAGTGTGTGTGTGAAAGGGAAAGGGACTAACGCCTCGTGCGAAAAAATACACACACACACACACACACACACACACACCAAGATCACTTAACATGCAAAAACTGAAAATGGTGGATCAGATAAGGTGTTAAAAAGGGAGAAGGATAATTTGGTCGGAGGAAAAAATAGGATGAAGATGGATTTCGTGATAAAGAAAAGGAGGAGAAAAAATGAACAAGGTTCTATTATTAAGAGGGAAGGAAGGGTTTAGGGGCGTCTTTTGTCTTACACGACGGAACAGATTTTATTGTTACTTTTAAGAGGAAAATGTTTTATGGGCAACTTACCTTTGTGGAGTTGTATGTGTTGTAGAGCAGTAGAGGGCGCGAGAGGTCGAGCCCGGGCGGCGCTGTGGGCGTGTGGAGGTGGGCGGCGGTGGGCAGCTTGTATCGCTTGAGGAGGTTCTTAGGCGTGAGGGCCATCCCGACAGGAACCAGATGCGGGGTGAGGCCTGACCCGCGCCCTACCGACGACCCGGACGAGTGGGTGGACATGACAGACTGGTGGGTGTTGTCCCAGTGGATGGACATCTCCGAGTGGCAGGTGTCACAGGGCGTCACTCAGATATGTTGGACACGCGGGCGTCAAACTCACCAGTTGTGGGGAAACATTCCTGGTGGCGGCAGACAACAGGACATTCTTGGTCAAGTGTTGTAGCATATGCTGCTAATTATTCACACCAACTGTTCCTTCTCTATGTAGTAGTGGTCGACCTGTCCCTACCTGCTCGACCTCGCTGGTAGGTCACGGGTGGTGTGGGCGTGGACGGGCGTGCTGCCAAGCTCTTGGTTAGCGGTGACTGGAGGGCCCCGTCTGTCCACCTGGCCTAGGCACGCAACGCTTACTTACTGATTCCTCCCAGTCTCCACTTAACTCACTTTTTATCTTTTATCTATGATCCTTATTAGTTATTTTTCAGTTATTTCCTCTACAAGTTACGTCTCCTTCACTGTAGTTCAATGCAGAAGTAAGACACTAAGGTATCCTGTGGGTGTCAGCAGCAGAAGGCGCGGAAGAGAACGTCACACACATGAGTACCGCTGAGAGTGGCGAGAGAGCCGCAACACACGTCCTCCCCGCTCAGACGTCTGGTCACTACTGAGCCGCGTCTCCACTCCTCACCTGATCTTGGCCTGGAATCTGGAAAATAAGAAGAAATATTGACCAACGCGGCGACACCAGTATTTCCCGTTGCAGCGCGTGGCGGCCTGGCTGCTCCCGGTCATTATGCTGATGCAGCAATAATCTGCCCTCAGCTATGCTGGTCTACTTTTGTTCCCAGAATACTATTAACATTCTCACGGCTTTCTCGTGTACTTTTTAGGCCTTTTCTGAAGGTCCTACTTTTATTTTACTTGGAAATTTGATAATATATTCAGCTGTTTATTATATAATTAAGATACATCATTTTAATATAAGTAGTTTTCACAAATGATACAACCATCAAACCTCCTCCCTGCACACCAATAACTGTACCTCAATAAGCCACTGAAAAGCCACAAATTACACAAATTGACACAAATTTCGGACATGACCTCAGACGACACAGAGGATATCCTGGGCCGTACGTCTGGCAGCAGCAGCGAGAGGTGGTGGTGATGGGCACGCTGCCGGGGGATGCTGGCTGACGTAGTAGTTAGTTAGTACCCACTGACGTCATTTAGTACCAATATTCACCTACTCAGTGATGCAACGAGGCCGCTATCTACCTACCACTCACCGGAACTCCCTCTCTAGACTGAGGGACCTCCCGGCACTCACATACCAGAGGATACATGGAGGAACTACCGTGGCCTTGTGACAGGCTCTGAAGGTCCTACGCTAAGTCATCAGTAGCGCAAAATGATGACGCACTCAGCTGACTCATGCCGGTAGTCATTCACTCTGAGTAGCATTCAGCCATGAGCTATAAGTCTTACCGTGAAAACTTTCGGGTGGAAGTTCCTGGAAGCGGTAAAACATACAGACATATGGCTGGGTGATGGTACTCGTGGCCTTTGTGAAGTTGTCGAGATGAAGTGAGCAATAAATAATTTCCTATTGATCAGTAATGACGCATTACGGACATGAAGATGCAGAGACAGACAATCAGATAGACAGACAAATAGAGAGAGAGAAACAGACAGGGGAGGACAGACAGCCGGAGAAAGAAAAATACAATGAAAAACATAAAAAGAATAATCTATTTACATTACGCGACCATCTTCCAGTTCTTCTCCAACTTCTCCTTCCCTCCTCCTCATTCTTCTTCTTCCTCCTCCACATTCTTCTTCCTTCCAACTTACTCCTCCTCTTCTTCTCCCTCCTCCTCATTCTTCTTCCTTCCAACTTACTCCTCCTCTTCTTCTCCCTCCTCTTCATTCTTCTTCCTTCCAACTTACTCCTCCTCTTCTTCTCCCTCCTCCTCATTCTTCGTCCTTCCTACTTACTCCTCATTCTTCTTCTTCCTCCTCCTCATTCTTCGTCCTTCCTACTTACTCCTCTTCTTCTTCCTCACTCCTCCCCATTCCTCCTCTTCTACTTCCTCTCCTCCCCCTCACCTTCCCTACACCTGAGAGAACCACTTCCTCCACCCACAGGATATCTCCACCTGACGTACCACCATAAAAACCACCATACACCATACTTCCATTAATTTCCTCAAGTGTCACCATCCTAGCGTCTTTGTCGTGGTTTGGCGTCGTCTTTAGGTGTCGTCGTCGTCGTTGTCGTGGTTTGGCGTCGTCTTTAGGTGTCGTCGTTGTCGTGGTTTGGCGTCGTCTTTAGGTGTCGTCGTCGTCGTTGTCGTGGTTTGGCGTCGTGGTTAGGTATCGTCCCCGTCGTTCGGCTCAAGCTTTTACATTAACCATTATAGTGTTAAAGAGACAAGCGTGTGTACCTCCTCTCTCGCACACACACACACAGTCGAGGTGATGTAGGTGAAAATGACAATAATGATCATGTATCGAGGTGCTGGCGGTAATGTCCCTTTCACCTCACTCTCCCTCAGGCCTCCTTCTCTTACTCTTCATTCCCCCTCCTTCTCTATCTCCCCCTTTACCTCCCTCCCCTCTACTCCTTCCCTCCCTCCTTCACATAATAATCTTCCCAAAGTTCTCTCTCCTCTCCCCTCCACTCCCTCCTTCCCTCCCTCCTTCATCCTTCACACCACCTGACAGGGAGGAGGAGAGGAGGGGAGGGAATTGAGAGAGAACTTGTCTTTCGGCGCATGACGGTATGTGTAGAAGACCACTCCACCTCCCCACTCTACCTCCCCACTCCACCTCCACCCCTTCACCCTATCTCCCCAAAGCACCTCCCCACTCTCTCTCCCCACCCTATCCTCCCCAAACCACCTCCCCACTTCCCTAACCTACCTCCCCACTCCCACCTATCCTCTTAAACCCTCCCACCCGCCTCCCACCTCCCCCTTGCCTCCCACCTCCCCACTTCCCTAATCTACCTCCCCACTCTACTTCCTCCCCAATCTGTCTCCAACACTCCATCTCCCAGCAGCTCCGTAAATTTTTCACACACACACACACACACACACACACACACACACACACACACACACACCTCTGTCTACATGTGTATTGTCAGGTAAATATAACAGTGTATGTATTCTATGTATGGTTTATATCAGTACTTAAACTCGTAAGTTCATTATCACTCTAACCTTCTTCTTCTTCTTCTTCTTCTTCTTCTTCTTATTATTATTATTATTATTATTATTATTATTATTATTATTACTATTATTATTATTATTATCATTATTATTATTATTATTATTATTATTATTATTACTATTATTATTATTATTATTATTATTATTATCATTATTATTATTATTATTATTAACTGAGGTGTTACGGACACATCCCAAGAAACAGAGAGAAGACAGTTCAAAAGTGTATTATTTACACAGAGATGGATGGTACAAGGAAGAAGAGAAAAACCAAGAAAGAGATGGAAAGACGAGGAGAAAGGAACGGACATCCAGGAAGCAGCGGTGTGCGTGAATGAGTGGAGAGCCTGGCGTTGAGTGACTCTTGAGAAGGTCGCCCCTGGTCATGTGGTCTTGGTGGTTGAGTGACAGGTGTATGACGCATATATTTGGGTTGTCTTGTTGTGGTTAAGTGAGTACAGTACCGGAGTGGGATATTATCTGTCACAGCTGTAAGACAATGAATGCCAGAGAATGAAGGAAGAATGTGTGTATGGGGTTTTAGTAGAGTGAAATATATTAGGATTACTATTTTTATTATCATGTTATTATTTTTATCATTTAATTAGTTTTATTTTATTATTTAGGATATTACTACTATTATTATTATGTTTTTTATTAAATATTATTTCATCATCATCATCATCATCATCATCATCATCATCATCATCATCATCATCATCATCATCATTATACATCACCATGACGACTACCATAAGGAAGAGTCAGTGTCCTGTGAGCCACCAGCTGATGGAGGTGAGGTAAGGTGCTTTTTGTTCACACCTGGACACACATACCTGCCTGCCTGCCCCCTCAACCACGACCACCACACTAACACGTTCTCTACATCCTTGTCTTGTCACTCTTCTTCTTCTTTTTCTTGTCCCTCTTGTTCTTGTTCTTCTTCTTCTTGCTCTTCTTCTTCTTCTTCTTCTTCTTCTTCTTCTTCTTCTTCTTCTTCTTCTTCTTCTCCTTCTTCTTCTTCTTCTTGTCCCTCTTGTTCTTGTTCTTCTTCTTCTTGCTCTTCTTCTTCTTCTTTTTCTTCTTCTTCTTCTTCTTCTTCTTCTTCTCCCTCTTGTTCTTGTTCTTGTTGTTGTTCTTCTTCTTATTATTATTTTTTTCTTATTTTCTTCTAATTCTCATTTTTCTTTGTTTCTTCTTCTTCTTTACTACATTATTCAATCGTTTCCTATGTGGTCAACCAATCGGCTCTTCCTCTCCCACATAGTTATCGGTCCTGTGTTTCCTCCTCTCTCCATCATTCCCAACTCCCTCATTATCCCTCTCTACTCTCTCCTTCGTGTTTTTCCACATTCCCCTTCTCTAATTATCATTTGTCTGCCTCTTCCCATCTTTTTATTCCCTTCTCTCACCTACATTATCGTCAATTTTCTTTCTCCACCGTTATCAGGCCTATGTTTCTTCTTTTATTCATATTCCTATTTCCACCCTATCTCCACTTCTCCCTCATCTCTCTTCTTCTGCGTCTCTTTCTCCAGTTACCAGATTTATGCTTCTCCGGCCAGTCTGAAGCGAGTAGTCGTCACTGCTTCTTCAAGAGGGTGAGACATGACCCTCAGTCGTTTTGCATGATCTTATGACTTTTTTCATGACCTTACGACTTATTTCATGACCTCACGACTTTTTTCATGATGACTTATTTCATGACCTCACGACTTATTTCATGACCTAACGACTTTTTTCATGACCTTACGACTTTTTTCATGACTTAACTATCCTTTTATGACCTTACGACTTTTTTCATGATCTTACTAATTTTGTCATGAATTTACGACTTTTTTCACGACCTTACGACTTTTTTCATGACCTTACGACTTTCTTTCATGACCTAACGACTTTTTTCATGACCTTACGACTTTCTTCATGACCTGACGACTTTTTTCATGACCTTACGACTTTTTTCATGACCTTACGACTTTTTTTCATTATCTTAAGAATCTTCCAGCATTCAGTTTATTTTCATATTTATTTCCAGTACAAGATCAAAAGAGTATTACAGTCATATATGCCTGTACATGTAACTGTATTTTAAAGGAGATATTCAATAATTAAACAAATGTAAGGGCAGTGGCGCAGGTGTAGAGGGATTGGGGCAAGTGTAGAGGTATTGGGGCAAGTGTAGAGGTTCTGGGGCAAGTGTAGAGGTACTGGGGCAAGTGTAGAGGTATTGGGGCAAGTGTAGAGGTTCTGCGGCAAGTGTAGAGGTATTGGGGCAAGTGTAGAGGTTCTGCGGCAAGTGTAAGTAGTATTGGGGCAGGAGGTAGATGTATTGGGAGCAGATGTAGAGAGGGAGTGGGGCAAGTGTGGGAGGTTCTGGGGCAGAGTGTGTAGGGACAGATTGCTGGGGTAAGTGTAGAGGGATCTGGGGCAGGGTGTAAGTGTTGGGGCAGTGTGGGGTTCTGGGGCAAGTGTGGGGTGCTAGTGTGGGTATTGGGGCAAGTGTGGGGGCATTAGGGGCAAGTGTAGAGGTACTGGGGTAAGTGTAGAGGATCTGGGGCAAGTGTAGAGGTATTGGGGCGAGTGTAGAGGTTCTGGGGCAAGTGTAGAGGTACTGAGGCAAGAGTAGGAGCAGTTGGGCAAGCGTAAGGGCAGTGGCAGACAGTGTTTCCAAGAGAGCCAGCCAAAGGTGGAGTCTGTAATCTGACATTCCTGTGTACACCATCGGTCAGGTCCCGAGAACTCAGAGATTATGTCCAAGGTTGTTTCATCCCATGGTGAGTGTCGCTGCTCATGTCCTCGCTCGCCTGTGTCTTACTGGGGGGGGGGGGGAAGGAGGTGGGGAGGAGGAGGAGGAGGAGCAGGAGCAGGAAGAAGAGGAGGAGGAGTAGGGGGAGGTGGAGGGGGAAATTACTCAACCTCTGGCCTGAATTCTTAACCTAACCTAATCTAACGTAACGTAATGTAACGTAACGTAACCTAACCTAGTCCAACCTAACCTAACCTATTAATAATATGACCTAACCTGACCGAATCTACCACTAATATAACATACCCTGAACTCACTTAACCTCTCTCTCTCTAATATAATTTAACATAGCCTGTCCCTCATATAAGTACATGGTACGTCTAAGTCAATCTTCCCTAATATGACTTAACCTTCCCTGATGATAAGAGAAGTGACTTGCAAAACTCCACACTGACAAGAAAGTCACTCTCGGTGGATACTAAAAAAAACCCCAGATTAAAACTGAAAATACATATATAAGAATAAATACAGTTTTGATATGCGGTGACATCCCCTTCAACTATGTCTACACGAGTGACGCGACGGAAACAAACACACACACACACACACACACACACACACACACACACACACACACAGAGTTCCAACATCGTTTCATTGCATCTTGATCTAAATACCGTTTGGACTCACTGTACTTTATCATGTGACACTAACAAAATACATAAGGAATTCAAGTGTTATCTCTGCCTTATGATGTGATCGCCTTTCACCTCGTGGGAGAAGCTGCATGTTAAGTTATCGTCGACACAACAAGGCCTAAATTTAATGAGTTCCAGGGTGTATGATGAATATTAGACGAGGAAGGGGAGGAGAGTTGGACTATCACCAGATGAGGGGGGGGGGCGGGGTGAGGAGGAGGAGGAGGAAGATGGGGAGGACAAGATGGAAGAGGAGGAAGATGAAGGAAAGGAGGAAGATGGGGAGGACAAGATGGAAGAGGAGGAAGATGAAGGCGAGGAGGAATAGGAGAAAGAGAAGTAGCAAAAGGACAAGATGGAGGAGGAAGAAGAGGAAAAGGAGGAGGAGGAGGAGGAGGAGGAAGAAGAGGAAGAGGAGTGACATGAGGAAGAAGAGGGTGAGGAGGAAGAGGAGCAGAAAGAAGAGCAGGAAAAGGAGTGAATAAAAGGAAAATATATATATATGTGTGTAACTGTGTGTCATCATCAACAGTTATGACCTTGACCTTTGACCCGTAAATAAACATAAACACCAGACTCTCCTTACTCCCGTCACATAAACAAAATAAACAAAACACAATCACAAATTTCTTACACAAACACAAGTTGGATTATTATAAAACTCTTCCTCAATGTATGAAATATTATAGACTTTTCTCAGGTATCATCTTATACTTCATTTTCTCAGAAGTTTAAGATGTAATAAAAAAAAATAAAATAACTTGAATTGAGTAAAAGTAAAAACCAAGAATGAATTGAGTAAAGTTATTTAAGCTGTTGGTTAATCCGGAAATCACACACCTTGAGAGTCAGCTTCATGATGACAGCAGTAAACCAGTTGCAGCCTTCATGTGTGGTTAAAAGAGGTAAGCCACGAGTTAAGCTGACTTTAAGCTGGGGATTTATGATATACCTATAGCTTAAGCCAGCCTAGACCTATAACACAAGTTAATTTTAATCAGATTAGAGTCAGGATTAAACCATTATTTTACTGCATGTTGGAATTAACACGGTAAGCCACCTTCAATGAGACATAAGCCATGGTGAAGCAAAGGGAGAGTCCAAACCAAGACATTTTGTATCTAACCCTTATTCAATTCTTAAGCCGTTCAGACTCAAAAACTGCTTTGAAATTCTAAGACATGGGAGATAGCCTAAGACATGGGTACCCTAAGACATGGGAGATAGCCTAAGACATGGGAGATAGCCTAAGACATGGGTACCCTAAGACATGGGAGAGTCCTTAAGACATAGGAGAAACCCTACAACACGGGAGAGGTCCTAAGACATGAGATAAGTTCTAAGACATGAGATAAGTTCTATGATATGGGAGAGGCTCTAAGACATGGGAGAGGCTCTAAGACATGGGAGAGGCTCTAAGACATGGGATAGGTTCTTGACTCTCGGGTTCTGGGAAGCGTTCAGTCTCTGGTCTGTCCAACGCCACGAAGGTCACACCATGCTGGCTGACGGTAGTGATGGTGCATAGGGGAGAGACGGAGGAGGAGGAGGAACAGGAGAAGGAAAAGGGAGGAGGACTTAGAGAGGACTTATTCTCCCTCAACATTAAATTATATTAAGCAAAATAAACATCAAATCTTTAAGCATTAAAAAAAAAAAAAAATTATCACCCAGGTCATATATCCTCTTTACGTAAACAAGATGTCTTGTACACAACCTAAACATTTTCACTTCTGTATTACGAAAAAATATACTTTTGTGAATTCGTTCTTTATATATAAATTACGAGAGAGTCTTCTATATATCCCAACACACCATTTCGTCCTAAGAATACAAAAAATAAAGGACATTGATACAGTAATTTGTTGTTAAGAAAAACCATTATCACAACCCCATCTCAACCCTTCCGAGGGGCATGCGAGGGTGGTCTCACAGTTACCCAGCACCGACGCGCGACAAGATTCACACGTAACGAGCCTCCGTCCACCTGAGAGAATGTATATACCGGACCACAGGAAACTGGCCTCATGGTTATGGTCGAATATAACGGAAACATCATCCTGGTTATTGACGGAATGTTCCGACTGAGGAAGGAGAGCCAATCGGGTGTTCTACGAGTGAATGTTCCAGCGGACGAGTAAATATTCCAGCGGACGAGTAAATAATCCAGAGGACGAGTAAATAATCCAGAGGACGAGTAAATAATCCAGCGGACGAGTAAATATTCTAGGAGACGAGTAAATATTCTAGCGGACGAGTAAATGTCCCAAGAGATTTAGTGACCCGGAACAAATACAGAATCAATGCACTATATATATAACCATCAGTGGCTGACTAAAACAGCAATATTCTGAGAAGCTGTCTTGTTGTCCACTGAAACACCACAGCGGGGTTCCTTAAGGGTACGAGTAAATGTTCCGTAGGACAAGTTACAGCTCCAAGGAACGACCTAATGCTCCAGGGGTTCACTGACGTGGTTACATATAGTGTGGGCGTGGTTACTTAAAGTGCGGGCGCGGTTATATACAGTGAAGGCGTGGTTATACCGTATATACTCTGGGCGTACTTACATATAGTGTGGGCGTGGTTACATATAGTGTGGACGTGGTTACATATACTTGCATGGGCATGGTTATATATACTTGTAGTATGGGCGTGGCTACATATAGGGTGGGTGTGGTTATATACATGGTGGGCGTGGTTATATATAGGTTGGGCGTGGTTATATACAGGGTGGGCGTGGTTATAAACAGGGTGGGCGTGGCTATATACAGGGTGGGCGTGGTTATATACAGGGTGGGCGTGGTTACATATAGTATGGGCGTAGTTACATATAGTATGGGCGTAGTTACATATAGTAAGGTCGTAGTTACATATAGTATGGGCGTAGTTACATATAGTATGGTCGTAGTTATATAATAATAAGAACATGGTTATGGTAGTGGTTACATATACAGTGCTGTGGATAGTTACCTGTGGCAGGGACACACTGATGACAAAGGCCGTAGTTGCACAATATTTGTCGAGACCAACGATTCCGTAATCTGAAATTAATAAAAACAGATATAAATAATAATAAAAAATAATAATAATTTACCTAATAAAAGAAAAAAATGTAAAACTAGAATTTTCTTAAATATTTTCACGACTACACAAAGAACCCTAGACAAAATAGATATGTTTAAATATGCCCCCCTTACATACAGTACCACCCCCCACATAACCCATGCACCACCCCCGTAAACTCCCTCACCCCCTCCCCCCACACCCACCACCCGTAGCTACACTGTCACCCAGGTCTTGTCTATCTCGTCACATGTCACTAAGATAACCAGGCACATTATACTATCTTTCAACAAGTTTCTGGTAACGTCTTATCACAGCTTTCCTCGTCACACGTTCTTGGGCAAAGTGAGATACCCTGTACCACCAACACCTGAGTCACACCATGCTGGGAAAACTATATATTTTTTCTTTTCGTTTGTGTGATTGTGTTGTATTGGTTGTAATGGTAAAAGATATTGTTTGTTTTTTTAGGTAATTTCTTATGGTCGCAGTAGTGTTAAGTGAACAAGACTAACCACACAAACGGCCATTGGCGGACGTGGAACTGCTCTACGTGGGGGTGGAGAGGAGGGCCGGCAGCGAGCGACCAGTTTTACCCCAAGCCAGGGAATAAATCATGCGTTCCATCGTTCCGCATGACCCTGGACCCAGTGGCAGGGAGAAAGTTAAGGGTGAAACATTCCTTGAAGAGTGACGATCAGTATGTCAATCAGGAAGGGCAGACATAGTTATACCGACGCAGCCCAACTACATTACTGTATACCTACTGCTTGTATACCCACACGGTCTACATACATACACTGTCTTTGTATACGTGCACTCTTTAAGTACACTGCTTATGAACAAACTGAAGCAGTCTGTATCTCCTCTATCTATATATCTATCTATCTACCTATCCTGCAGTAAACACAGGTATGCCCCAGGTAACAAGCAGGTACTAACAGGAGAAGCGTAATGCAGAAATGACCTTGAGATGGAATTAATTAACACTCGCAGGTATTTCCTTTGTTGTCTGACCAGGTGAAGGAGGCTTTTGACACGAGTGCTGACCCTTCCTCTGTGTTTGTTCTATAAATAAAATTCATATTCGTTAACGAAGAATCTTACTAGAGAATTCGTGGTGGAAAAGTAAGAGAAAAATAATAAAAACTGACCAAAAAATTGATCTGCGAAAAAATCTATAAAATGGAGACGATAAGAACGTTAAAAATATTAAAAATTACAAATTTGTGAAATGCAAACAATTTTTAATATGATAATAATAAAAAAATTCTAAATATTAAAAATTACAATAAAAATATATAAAAAATCAATAAATCGGGTAATAATAAAGATGTGTAATATTAAAATAATATAAATGGTAAAAAAAATTTAAATACAAAAGAGTTAAATAATAAATACGAAAAAAACCATATACAAAAAAGTCAATAAAATCGGATGGTAAAACTTTTAACACATCAAACATAAACTAGCATTCCAGTTCTTCCTGTTGGACCCCATCTGCCAGTCCGGGAAATCCCCTCCACGACCCTATCCATCCTACGGCCATGTCCTAGACTTGTCCTAGACGTGTCCTCCGTGCCCTTGACCGTGCCCCTATGGCCCCTACATACGTATACGTTCCGAGAGGCGTGGCTACCAGACCTTAACTCCAAAGGTCTCACATCATCTGATAAGACACTTTGATGCTTCTAGTTAAGTCTCTGCCTCTCTCTCTCCTTCACCCTTTCCAGTATATATCCCTTCATTCTTCCTTTCTCCCTTCCCTTCCCTTCCTCCTTGCTTGTGTTGCTGACCCCACGTAGGTAGCAGTAGCCATCCAGTATTTTGTCCGCCATTGTAACTATGTTGGTACAAGACGTCAACCCACACCACCTAGTCTGTCTCACTGTTGCTAGGTGAGGGTGCCAGTCTCTCTCTCTCTCTCTCTCTCTCTCTCTCTCTCTCTCGTCGTGTGGGTGACAGTGACAGGCCAGGAAGGTTACCTGTAGATAGACTCATTGGATGAATCACCTGCTTAATAATAACACTGACTGTCTCGGACTGATCGGCCTGAGTTGACTGTATGACATTAGCTGACTGTCTCTTGATTGATCTAAGCTAAGTGAGTGGGTCGTTATATAAATGACTGACTGTTTAAGTGGTTATACTGTAGTTTCATTCAGTTCTATTAATTCACTCACTCACTCACTCACTCACTCACTCTTTTATCTATCCCTCTATTGTTCTATTTGTTCTTCTCTTTATATATTCATTAATCTAACACTCTCTATTTGTTGGTCTTTCTGTTTATTCTTCTCTCTCTCTCTCTCTCTCTCTCTCTCTCTCTCTCTCTCTCTCTCTCTCTCTCTCTCTCTCTCTCTCCTTAGTCACAAGAAAAACCGCCACACACACACAACAGGCGAACTTGTTTTGATTTTTTTTAGTGTGTGTGGGGGGGGGGATCCTAAGAATGGATGCCCTCCACACTTCAGAGGATCCGACCCCACGACGCTGCTACCACTCATCCGGAAATACCATGTTTTAAGGAGGGTCAAGATCCTGTAGTCTATAGATCTTCTTTTGTTTATATGGTCTTGTCTTGAGTTTCTATCGTCTATAGGTTATAGAGTATCGATATTCTCTTCCCTGTTTATGCGTTAACATAATGGACATTGTCTTGAGACTGTATGTCTTTAGGCATTATTTGTTTATATATAAAATAGTGAACAGTTTTTGAGTTTGTGTCGTATATTAATCTCTTGTATTTATTTATTCCTAAACAATGAAAGTCTTCGTAAGAGGTTCTGGTGTTTATGATAATAAGCGTCGCAGGCATGACGTCCCTCTTGGTCAATGTGGGGACGACACACACTTGACACCTTGCGGCACACCAGGAGGCGGCGTAACAGGGACCATCTGTAAAGTCAGGTACTAAGTCATAATCAGGCAAACAGGGGGGAGCGAACCACTGACTCTAAGGACAAGATGTGAGCGCTGTATCCACTCAACCTCCCGAGAGTGACCAGGGAGAGAGTGATAAAGGAAGGAGGGAGAGAGGGAGGGAGGTAGTGACCAGGGAGAGAGTGATAAAGGAAGGAGGGAGAGAGGGAGGGAGGTAGTGACCAGGGAGAGAGTGATAAAGGAAGGAGGGAGAGAGGGAGGGAGGTAGTGACCAGGGAGAGAGAGGGAGATAGTGACCAGGGAGGGAGGGAGAGGAGAGGAGAGGACCCAGGGAGGGAAAGAGTGATAAATGAGGGAGAGAGGCAGATAGTGACCAGGGAGAGAGAGGAGATAGTGACCAGGGAGGGAGACCAGAGAGGGACAGTGACCAGGAGAGAGGATAAGGGAGGGAGGGAGGGAGAAAGTGACCAGGAGGGAGGAGAGAGGGAGATAGTGACCAGGAGGGAGGGAGAGAGGGAGATAGTGACCAGGGAGGGAAAGAGTGATAAATGAGGGAGAGAGGAGGAGATAGTGACCAGGAGAGAGAGTGAGATAGTGACTAGGAGGGAGAGGATCGAGGGACAGGACCAGAGAGAGTGATAAGGAGAGAGATAGGAGATAGTGACCAGTGAGATAGAGTAAACTAGGAGAGAGAGGAGATAGTGACCAGGGAGGAGAGGACTAGGAGGGAATGACCAGAGGGAAAGAGAGTGACCAGGGAGGAACCAGAGAGGTAACAGGGAGGGAGGGAGAGAACCAGGGAGGGAGAGAGAGGACCAGGAGGGAGTGGTGTGCAGGGGAGAAAGAGGACCAGGAGGAACCACGGAGGTAACAAGGAGGGAGGGAGAGGGCACAGGAGGGAGAGAGTGATCAGAGGGAGAGAGTGACCAGAGGTAACAAGGAGGGAGGGAGAGGGCACAGGGAGGGAGAGAGTGACCGGGGAGAGAGAGAGAGTGACTGGGGAAGGAGAGAGTGACCAGAGAGGTAACAGGGATGGAGAGAGGTAACAGGGAGGGAGAGAGTGAGCAGAGAGGTAACAGGGATGGAGAGAGGTAACAGGGAGGGAGAGAGTGAGCAGAGGTGAGGAGGGAGAGAGGACTAGGAGGAAGAGGGTGACCGGGGAGGGAGAGAGGGAGCAGGAGGGAGAGAGGACCAGGAGGAAGAGGTGACTGGGGAGGGAGAGAGGACCGGGGAGGGAGAGAGAGTGACCGAGAGAGGTAACAGGGAGGGAGAGAGTGACTAGGGAGGAAGAGGGTGACCGGGGAGAGAGAGAGAGGACTGGGAAGGAGAGAGTGACCAGAGAGGTAACAGGGAGGGAGAGAGGACCAGGAGGAAGAGGGTGACCGGGAGAGAGAGAGGACTGGGGAAGGAGAGAGGACCAGAGGTAACAGGATGGAGAGAGGAGCAGGGAGGGAGAGAGGACCGGGGAGGGAGAGAGTGACCAGGGAGGTAATAGGGAGGGAGGCAGAGGGTACAGGGAGGGAGAGAGTGACCAGGGAGGGAGGACGGGGATACAAGGGTGGTCGTCTTCCTCGTCAAGGTCGCACAGGACACCAGGATTCACATCAGCATCCTACCAGCATCCTTCCCTCCCTGTACCCCCTCCTTCCCTCCCTGCAAGTCTACCTCCTCCACCTCCACCATCATATCCATCGCTTACCTCAGAGAGAGAGAGAGAGAGAGAGAGAGAGAGAGAGAGAGAGAGAGAGAGAGAGAGAAGCGTTGGTCCGTACCTAAGAGCAGGTCTCCAGGGGTTAATAACATTTACCCGTGCTGCCGCGAATACTGACACACACACACACACACACACACACACACACACACACACACACACACACACACACACACACACAGAGCACCATCCCATCTATTGTTAAAATAATAAGCAACTGATTTATGTACTGTACAGCCCTGTAAATGTATTCAACGCATATTATATCATTATGTCTAAATCAAATGTAAGTTCAGAGAGCCAGCCACCGGCTGCAAATCCCTATTAATAAACCGTTTATTACATACATATTACAAAACACACACACAAGCCAAACACAGACACAAA